AGTATCAAACATTAAAGTCCATATTAAATTTATACTATACTTATTCTTATACCATTAGTGTAACCTTTTCACCTTGACATAATAAAGTTAACTAAACATAATGAAAGAGAGAAACATAAATAAATAAGATAAGAACATAAATAACATATAAGTTAACTAAGTAAAAGAAAGGAAATGAAAAGTATAAATAAGAGATTAATGAAAGCAAAACTTAAGCATTATAAAAATATAAGGAAAAAGAGCAAGAACATGATCTTAATATGAAAACCAAGATGCCTAAATGTATAGTAAATGCCTCCTTTTATAAGCTAAAATTTGGAACTATTGATTTGATGACTAATTATTTAGTGGGTGACCAATTCTTGACTTGGTGATAATTTTTATCTTCTTGTCTAAACAAAATATCATTGCTAACATCAAAATTTAAATAAACTTGATTTATGAAAGTTTTAGGATATTTTCTCAGCTTTTCAATAAAAAAAATTAATATCATTTAGAGTTTTAGAACTCATCATATGGGCTGAACATTAAACAGTGTCTAGGTTGGAGGACAGATTCTAACTTCTCTGTAATTGCTACAATTTGAACTTGAAAATGACATTTTTGAATCTTGCATTCTCATGGAAGCTTTAAGCATATGTCTTAGCTTTTTATCTATAAAGCAAACTCAAATTCAAGTTCTACAGCTCCAAATATGACCCAATGACTAAACAGTGTTCTAGTTTGGACTGAACCCGCATCTCTTTTCCAAGCTTAGCCATCTCTTTGTCTTTTCAATTTCAATAATTAAATCCATCAATCAATCCCTTGATTTATATGATAGACTTGCATTTAAGATGAATATTTACCATAAATTAAAGGTATATTATGTTATTAGATATATTATTATAAAATATGCTCTAGTTAAGGAGTTATTGATACTTTAAGTGTAAAACAATGATATAAAACCTTGATAAAAATGTGCTTTTAAGTACTAATTACACCCCTCCCAATTAGATTATTACTAGTCCCTAGTAATCAAAACGTTAACATAAAAAAACAATTTGCAAGTTCCACAAAGCAAGGCATTTATTATTCAACTTCCATTAATTTAACTAGATAAACAAACTCTTATTAAATTTATATATTTGCTCAATACTTCTTAAACTATATATTAATAAATATTCCTTTTGATGTGCTCAATGTATAAAAACATAGATGATGAGGTTTTTATTAGAAGAAAATAATATTATGTTATAATGTTTAAGGTTAACTTCATTGAATTGAGATTATTATCTTTTTATTTTTTTCAATATATATACATATAACTTAAAACACAATGCATTTTTAACTCATGTAACGAATTTTAGGCTAATAACTCCTAGAGCAGTTGGTCTTAGGGTATAAGGTGTTGAGATACCCTTTTGAGTATAATAACTCGGGTTGTAGTTGCTAATATATAGGTGGTGCCATATTTGATTCCTTTAAGCTTTTCTCCTTACCCATGTAACAAACGTTGGGTCAATAGCTTCCAAGTTAGTTGACTTTAGGGTATTGGGTGTTAAAACACCCCTTCATGCTTAATTGCATAAGTTAAGAAGGCTACGAAACCAAACTTATCTATGTTTTTATTTATTTAATTAATTACATTTATTATCATTTTTTTTTGCAAATTATATATTATCCTTTTCCCTTAGTTATTACCTTTAACAAAATAACATAAATAATGTAATAATCCAATATGCAACCCACAATCATATGTTAAAGTGTGTGTATGTGAAAATAAAGGTTTGAGAATACTTATTAAAT